GCCATACGACAAGGCACGGCCTTTCATTAGGTCTTACGGAGACTTGCCTCACAAGGGCAACCGTATTACATCGACGGGGACAACCGTACCGACGGCTGTAACAGCTCACATCTACATGGTTTACGTACATACTAAAATCATACCCATTCAACATGAAACACACATATATGGCATAGCAAGTTTTGAATAAGTAAACCCACCTGGTGTAGCAATAAGGGGAAATAGCACAATCAAGAGTAGGCGGCGAGCACGGCTCGTCAACCACCTACAACAAATTATTATACTAAGATCAATACTTTTGACCTTAGAGAAACATACACAATCATACTTGATCGAATTCGAGTCAACCAAGTTGTTCGTGAAGTTCTGTGGACATTGGAACTCTAGGACTTAGACCCGAACAACCAAACATGGAATTTCACGCATGTATCACATAAAAAGTAGTTCAAACAAGTCACAACCACTACAAGAAAATCCGGTTTATAGTTTTTAATACAACAACTACATTTTTGAAAAAATAGAAAACAATATGTCACATAATTAGCTTGATCAATCTCCTGACTGAGTTAGGTTCTGAAACTTAGACATAAATTCTTCCTCATTGAACTTAATAAAACCTCCAAGTTTCAGCCCCAAACTTATTATACACAATTTTATCAAATTCAAATACGATATCAGCAAAAACGAGCATAAATTTCAAAACCTAACCTAACGAACGAATTAACACATGAGATTTTTACCAGATCAAGTTCAACAATTAGGGATCAACATATACAAATTCCAGCAATTAACATCAGATACTCAAATTATGAAAATTCATACAAGATTCAGCAGTTTATTGAATTTTAATTTAAACCGAACCAATTTGAGCTCTACAAATTCTACTCTTTTTACAGAATGACACTCCACATACAACAAGCATCTCAGCCAAATATCAGAATTTTTCAATAACCAACCGATTTATCATAAATAAAACAACTTTCTGCAGAATCTGAAAATAATTCATTTACCCTATGAAACTTATTCTAAAAATTCTAAAACTTTTACACAGCATATAAACATGGCAGATTCATAATATATTCAAATTTTAGCAAAATCGGAGCATGGACCAATTTAATATGTATTTAACATATTTCTGTCCAGAAATCACATTAATTATTTAAAATAGCTACAGGCCATGAAAAATTATGAAATTTTTACACAAGATATACAATCAACAGTGAGTAACTCAGTTAAAATGTCATGCCAATCGGACATTCATTCAATTTATGGTGAATTTTTCACATAAAACCGCAATTAAGAACTTTGAAAATTAATATCTCCCAATCTACAAATCGAAACGACACGAGGTCAGGACCATTGTGTCCATGATGATCCTAAGTTCCTAAATCTACAGCAACACGACATATATGATGCGTTTTCGTTTGACTCAAACGAAACGACAATATTCACATAAAATAATAACTTGAATAGATCATATATGCACATTCCAAACCAAAGCGACATTAAGAACCATAGCAAGTCGTAAGGCACGATTAATCCAACAAACGAACACGAATAATACATAACAGAGAGTCAAGGCTCGATACCGTTCTCGGGAAGCGAAAGAGAATGGTTCGAACGGGTTGACGGGTCTCGCCGGAAA